CCCCCCACCCAGATGATAAAGAGGATGGAACTAATAAGGACAAGTTCTACAGCCAACTAGATCTATTAAAAAATAATGGAGATGCCAAGATGGGAAAAGATAACAGCGGTTGTTAAGAGATCATGGGACGCCACGGGATGGGAGAAGATAACGACAAGGACGAAAGACTCATGGACTCGTGTGTCTGAAATATAATAATTTGGTCATAGAAGGAAGAGCTTTCCTACCTAAAAGGATATATGATTATATTATGTAAGGCTCGCTGGATCCCCTGATCACAAAAAGGAAACCAGATAGTTTGTTTTGGTAAGTGTTTTACGGTACTCACATCAAGGTCATTTTAATAATATGAGCGCGTGGGACACATTAAGCATTTTCGGTTTGATAGGAATTAACTTTGAATTTTGCTTGAGTTGCGGCCGAAGCTTATACTGCTTGTATCGATTTTGAACCACCAAGGGATCTTTATCGTGCGCGACGTGCACAAAGGATTTCCTGGGAGTTCACCAAGAAGAGTACATACACGCAAGCCAACGAAACAGAACAGACAAGCACTGCTAGGTTCCTAGAGGGAGTCGCAGACATCGCAGAACAGACTGCAGCCTTAGGTGAGGGAACAAAAATCTAACATTAAACCCATAATGCGGCAAAAGAAACTGTAGGGGAGGTTAAGCAAACTGCCAAATTGTCTTTGAAAGACAAGAATGGGAAAAGTCTGTTGTATGTAAGGAAAAGAAACACAAACAAACAAAAGGGCAAAACACATCCAGGAACTGCATGGAGCCTTTTTTTTTCAATTCTTAAAAAAAGAAATTAAATTTTTTTAAATAATTCTCTGGCAAGACCATCAGTTGATTGACCTGCGCGAAAGAGAGCGGTATGGAAAACATTAGACCTATGATGAGTACAGGTTATAGGGAAAAGGTATACACCCAACGAATAGAAGAAAACGCTTTCGTGGTAGCTATGTTTAGAGTAAATTCTCGTATCAACCAGCAGAAGAAAATAGATTAAGTCCACGTA